CCTCGTCAGACAGTGTGTGTGTGAAGAGATGTGGAATAGAGCAGCTTCGCTCTTGGCGACGTTGATTTTTAGGCTGTGCTCGGCAGCCCATGTGGCCACAAGAGACAAGAGCGGTCGCATTGCCGCAGCACAGGCATGGGTGTCCGCACATGAGGCAACAAGTGTGTGTTCGTCAGCGTACATGAATGCGGCGGCAGAATAGATGCTGTCCAGGCGGCGCAGCAGACCATCCACACAGCAGAGGAAGAGTTGGGGTCCCGGGACGCCGCCTTGCGGTGCTCCAGCTGAGGCGAGTTGTTTCCGGGAGTGCTGTTCGCGAGTGCATACCCCAACATAGCGGCCCCGCAGGTAGTTGTGCAGCCAGCGTTTGGTTCGAGGCCAAGGCGCGGAAGTCTGTCAAGCATGCAGAATAACTTCCCATGGTCAGTGGTGTCGAACGCAGTCGGAAAATCAATCAAAACTACAAGCGATGGCGACGAGGGCGTCGTGTGGGGGCGTCGTCCCCAGGGCGCTCATGCTCCACAATGCCAAACTCATTCAGTCCACGGGTAATTTGTCGATAACAAGTGCCACCACGTCCGACGTAGAACGCGGAGGTGCAAATCCGAAACTGACGTGGGTGGTGCGGCAATAACGCCGACAGACGGCGGTGAGTCATTCCTTCGGCTAACTTTAGTAAAACAGAGAGCAGCGTGATAGGTCTGTAACTCTCTGGGCAGCATGGGTCCTTCCCGGGCTTGGGGATAGAAATAGCGTCTCCCATTTTCCAGGAGCCAGGCAGGCTGCCATTTGCGAAGGAGTTGTGGATCATCGTTCTAAGTGTGCCATGCGCAACGGGCCCGAGACGGTGCAGGAATTCATTCAACATGTCGTCGGGGCCAGGGGCTGAACCAAGCAAAGAGCCGCGGATGTTCACGTCAATTACATACGGCGGGAAAGGCCGATCCATTTCCCAGCCACCAGGAACCAAAGGAGTGCAGCAGCAGCAGCAGCAGTACAAGGCGGTATGGCACGTGAAACCGCACAAAATGACGGACAGGGAGATTCGCCTGTTGCCGAGGCAGGGCGCATACGCGGCCAAGTTCAGTGCGGAGCACAACCGATTCCAAAAAATGAGGATGCGGCGCCGCCACGCCGTGAAGATATCGCCACCTCGGGCTGGGTGAGGCTCCAAGTCTTTTCGCGCGGGCCTCCAGAAACACAGCGGAGCAACGGCGTAAGGCTTGATTTCGTTCCTCCTTTTTTCGGGTACATTCGACTCAAAGTAGGCTGTCTCCAGGTGAGGCAATGTGTGTGCTTCGTGTGCTGCCTCGGTGGCGGACTCGGCCTGTTCCATTTCGTGTGTCCATATCTTTTTGGAGCTGTCACGGCTGCCGCGCGGGATGTGGCGCTCAGCTGCTCGTAAGATGCCTCCGCGAGGATCCAACCATGTGGACGCGGTGGCAAGGAGGGTTTCACACAACGATGTAAAAGCAGGCCAACCCGCTTTACGCAGGGCAAGGGTGGCTTTCTTCCGTCAAGGCAGCGTGTTTGCTAGTCGTGGAGTCCCATCGTCCATCTCTACCAAGTAAGATATTCAGCAGTGGTCCGAGTCCATGTAAGGGGCGAATGTCCAGTGGGAGATGCGTAGGGCGCAATACGCAGCCACGTCAGGGGACGAGACATTACGATGTGTGATCCGTGTTGCCTGTGTCGGGTAATTTGCCAGCCAAAATCCATATCGATTAGAACAGCGGCGAGATTATCGCCTCCAGTCGTTGATGGTACATATGACTGTCCCAGAGTTCACGATGTAAATTCAGGTCACCCGCGATAATCTCTTCGGGCACAAGCGACAAACGATATTGATAAATGCGGATTATTGACCAATTGTTGTGGGAGGGTTGTAGAGATTCGCCACGCAAATGCTGCGACAGCCCGGCGGAAATACACGGACAGCAATGGTCTCCAGGAGGTCAGTGCCAGGGAGCGACGGGCGCTCGCACGGTGGAGAGTGGCGCACCAGAACGGCAACACCACCACCGCGCCCAGTGCGGGCCTGGAGGTAGTCATTATGGCCACATAATTTCGTCGCCACGTCACCACGGTTACTTATTTCCTGCAGAAGAACGGTGTCAGGTGGACGCTGCTCCAATCGCGCCGCAAATGCAATATTTTTCACGGACGAGAGGCCTGCAATGTTAAGCCGCCAAATATTGATGAAGCCATCCTCCTCGGTGCCAGGGTTCTTGTGGACGTCACCGCCACGGGTGATATCAACGGAGTGACCGCCGCGAAACGGTCGTGCAGTTCTGTCCGACAGTCTGCAGGCAGACCGCCTCACCTCCCCGCACCGGGCATGGCGTGGAACCTTCTCGGGGGGTGAAGTCACCTTGGTCTCCGTCGTGCTCGCGGCAACGCCCAGCTGCGGAGTTCCTATACGCAACCAGAGCCCCAACACCGCGACAAGGCGCAACGTCATCGCCGGGGACCGTGGATACTCGCAACGGATGGCGGTGTTGACATTCCCACGTCAGCCGGGATTGGCATACTGCTCTCATCCCCGCAACTTTCGAAGATAACAGAGAATGTCAGTACCAACTGCGGCACACGCCCATGCAGCCGCACGACGGAGCCCCGCGCACTGCTCCCGGCCATGGAAAGGCTGAGTATCCATCGTATCCAGCACAGGCGTAAAACCCTGCTTGTGGTTACAGACAGTCATTCCCTTCTAGCCGCCGTCACCAAGGGCCCGCACAGTCATGCCGACTGGACGGAGGATCGGCTCTGGCAGCGTCTCTTGACACTGACGCGTGCCGGCTGCTCCGTGCACCTGCAGTTTTGTTACGAACATTGCGGAGTACACGTTAACGAGCCTGCAGATCAGCATGCGACACAGACCACGGCAACCGGGCAACACACGGAGCATGGAATAGCACCCATACGGCACACGGACCTGCTGTCATGCATTAACACCCAGCTCACCAACAAGTGGCGTAGTACCATGCATCAGGACACACACCACTACCTGCTTGGCGGCGCCAGGCCATCAGATCCAGGCGGCAAGCACCTGATCACTCAGGAAGCCCTCGACCAACAGGAACGGACAAACACTGCACGGGAAGGGTGCGGGGAATCCGAGCTCTGGGGTCGCCTGTACTGGACTGTGAGAGACTGCACGAACCAACGCCGTTTCCGCAACATCTCACCGGAACACTCCGCTTTCATGCGCTCCAACGACGATCCCACCGCACCGGGACGGAAGCTGTTCCCCCGACGACAAGGGAGGCCGACGCACCGCCTGTGGAGAGACGGCCCTCCACACAGCGTCGGAAGAAGAAATGCCCGCACTGTGACGCCACACTGGTGGGACACACGAACCACGTCGGTCACTGTCGGTGCTTTCATCCGGAACACCCTCCACCGCTTCCCGACCTCCACCGCGATTGCTGCGACACGGTCCTCCCCACACACAAAAAGCACCGCACAGCACAGAAATCGCTGCGCACAAAACCCAGACGCTACTCGGCACCGCTACTCGCTCTGTAATGCCAGGAAGCGGTCTCTGCCACTGCAGGATCAGCCAGCTTCCACAGGCACGCCAGTTGACACGCAGGAAACCTTTCGCCATCTGCTTCCGGAATGTACAGACGCTCTGGCTGTGCGCCAACGGCTGGGCATCAAGAAGGACCTTCGCACCGAAAGCTTCTCCCAATGGCAGTTGCCTCATAGCAGGAAACTCATGTCGCTGCTCGACCACCTCCTCGGCACCCTGATGACATCGTGTGGCTAGACATGTCGGTAAGAGCAGGGAAAAATAATAATAATGAGCATTCCCGCCACTGTAGAGACGCGGTGCATCTTGCGATCCCGCTGGCGGCTCTCCTCTTCCACCGCTGTTTTTGCGCAAGAGGTCACCACAGTCATTTTTGTGGTTTGGTCGGCCTCGTGTTGCGCTCCGGGTTCTCCTCCTTCATCGCCCTGCGGTGCTTCCTTCGCCGTCCCTGGCACCTGTGACTGTCCCGTGACGGTTTGTTCCGAAGCCTGACTGCCCTGTGAGGTCCTCCCGCCACCAGCATGCACTCCACCTGCTGCCTGCTGAGATGCGTCGGAGCATGGGGATGCTGTGCCTGCAGCGTGCCCTCCGCCCAAAGACTCCGGTCCACTTGCATGCATCCGAGCAGCAGACACGCTGCCAGCGCCGGACGGATTGCAAGTGCCACTTCGCAGTGGGTCGCTGCTGGATTGGTCCTGTCTCGTCGGAGCAGTGAGTGCTCCTCCCGAGGTGGGATTGGGGTCCTCACCCGCGATCCTTCCCCCACCCTCCTCGTCTTCCTGATTGCTATTTTCCTCAGAGTTCACATTCCCCTTTCGTCCAGAGCCACCGGCCAAGAGTCCACCTTCCGCAGCCATCACACCCCGCGCGTGCCCAGCAGTCACCGCGCTATCACCCGCGGCCGCACACGCACCCCGTCGCAGCAGCCCTCACTCACACGCACGAGCAGCTGCGCATCACTGCAGGAGCCAACAGGACGCAGAGCACACGGCCAGTCATCATCACAAACAGTGGAGTCGCCTAACGCTGCGGAGCCAACCTGCGATAGCACGAGAAAAACAAAAGGAGACACAGCCGCTACACCACGCACAGCAACAAATGGCAGCACCCCAGCAGCAGCAGCGCACACACCACGAGACAGATGGAATCAGTGCGATTGCAGAGCTCGCACACCGCCCCGCAAACCACAAGTTTAAAAAGCAATAAAAAACAATAATTAAAAAACAATAATTAAAAAAAGAAAAGAAAAACAAACCCAGGGCTCCAGTGCGCATGCTTATGAGTGTGTCCGCGATGCGTTCAACGTGGCGGATGCGGGGCACAGCGCGGAGCACACAGCACGGCAGCGGAAGCAAGTGAAGCAAAACACAATCATTATTTCCTCTTATTTTATACGGTGAACCACAACACACACGCACAAATCCCCGCGGTTGAGTGCTGGCACGCACAGCCCGCACACACCTCTTCAGCCCAGAGCGGTGTACGCCAGCGCGGATGCGGCGAGCAGCAGCGGGGCACACACCCACGCAGAGCTGCTGAGGCTGCCGTCCATTTCGCGAAGACTTGACGGTGCGCGGGTGGTCGACACAGCTGGCGCCTCTGTAGTCGTAGTGCTTGGTGCCTGTGTTGTACTCGTGGTCGTCGTGGTTGGTGCCTGTGTTGTGGTCGTGGTGGTCGTAATGGAAAACCCTTCAGGCACAGGCTGAGCGGCAGATTGATCTGAAACGCACACGGATGGGCAGCAGCACAGGGCAAGCACCAACAGGGCGCACAGCAGACGGCACGTCATCATCATCGTGAGTGTGGTCGTTCAGTGGTGTGAAGCTGATCTGCACGGTGAGGGACATGGAGAGCAACAGGGGAGACGAGAGGTGCGGCAGACACACACAGAGGGCACACCACATGAGGAGAGGGCAGCAGCCAGGCATGCACCGTACGCCGCACACCACGCACGACACACACTCCAATCCACGGCAGCAGGCACACGCACACACCCCTGCCGCAACACCAACACACAGATGGAGGAGGGAGAAGCAAACAGGAGCGGCACACAAGGCTCCACCGCATGCACATACGGCGAGAGCGGTCCGTCGTGTCTGCACCCCTCACGGAGGGTGCGCACACACACAAGAAGGTGCAGCGCACACAGCAACACAAAAGCAAAGTAACAATAAAAAAGGAAATCCCCGCACACCACGTGGATTGTTGGTCCACGGGAAGTGCAGCCAATATTCACCACAAAGCAACACTTCAGTTGCCGTAGGCCTTCGCCCACATTCATCGCACTCAATTTCATGCAGGCCCGGCCACCACCGCAGCAGGAGCTGCTGCACACGCAACAAGAAACAAGAAAGGGAGGTGGTGTGGGAGACTACGGTGCTGCTGTCACTGCCGCCATGCGAAGCTGTGTTTATGTTGTTAGTGGCGGTGGCGGTGTCCCTCGTGAACCCCTCGCTGTGGGCTGCGGGGTAACTGTGCCGGCTGATATGCCTTCGATTTTGTTGTTGCATTCTTCTTCTCCACTTCTTCTGTGGAGGGTCACGG